GTGAAGACAGTTGGACTAGATGATTTTATAGTTCGTTTCCAACCTTGTGATTCTATGATTCTATGACTATGAAGACAAACCATCCACCATAGTGACTTCAAATTCAAGCAACCTATAAGTGGATACAGTGTAGTCATTGCATCATAAAGCTGTGTATCTACTTATGCAGATAAGCAAGGAGAATAACTATTTATATCATTGAAACTTGTTGAGGAATTGTGCCATATATGCATACAATTAAGTACTAATTTAAAAACTTATTTTATCTCCAGTTTCACCTTGAGAAGAAGCTGAATATTAGCGACTCACTTGCATATTCTGCTGTTACTTTCTGGTATTTCTACAGAAATCTAACGTTTGGATTTTTGCAAACTTCCTAAGCTCTTGTTTGGCTGAACAGAATGGAGTATTTATTTGCCACACAGTAAAGACTGTGGTTTTGAACAGTACCTACTGCATTCCTTTGTAGTTGACCTATCTTCTATGCCTGTATTTAAAATAAGAGCAAACATACAACAAAAATAGTGTTAATGACCACTTAGTGCCTGGAATTGGAGCTGTTTATGAAGCATTCTTCCTGAAGGAGGGAAGAACTGAGAAGTGATATATTTTTTTTTTTTAAAGGAAGTGCTTCAAATTTAATACCTTGTTTTAATTTTTAATGTTCTACAGGTGCCAAATTATTGACTTTCACAAACCAACTGGTCCCACAGGTACACACCCTCGTTTATTTGAGTGGATTTTACATTACTATTCTACAGATAATGAAGGTACTGCAAAGGTAGTGTGCACTTCCAGGCCACCTATCTACTTGCAACATCAAGGTCAGCATCACAATGTACTGATTTGTTCTCTAACTTTTTCTCTATGTGTGCTGTGATTTAGAGCAGTCTTGTGTTCTTCATTTAATTGAATGCCTATTCATTTTTAAACAAAAAATTAACAAGCGTAACATTAATTTTGTATTTTTATTGGGTAGAAGAGCATGAGTGGAATATCAGCTTTTTACATCTGCTTTTTAATTACAATCACTATGTTAAATTTCAACTAATATTTTGCTTGATTTAAAAATAAGCAGAATGCTACAAGCAAGTAAATGGGATTTTGTTTTTCTAAAATACTGAAAATCTGTTTGAAACTAGGTCACAGCCGTACTGTTGTAGGCATAGAAGAAAAGAAGAATAAAGCCTTATGTTTGCTGCTGTTTGATCCTGGATGTCCTTCTCAAGAAATGCAGAAACTGCTAAAACTAAACAGTGATGGCACTAGTCTCAAACTACTTCGAAAGTTTATGGGTAGCTTAAAAGAAAAACAATACCAGATTGTTGCTGTAGATGGCATCCTCACATTGGAAGAGAAAACTGTAAGTATTTTAGAAAATAGTTTGTATAAGAAAATTTAAAAGAATGTGCATTAGAATTCAGAACACAGTAACTAAAGTAGTGTGTTTTTTGGGGGAGGGGAACATGTGTTTTTTCTTCTCTCCAAAGATTCTATTTATATTTTAAAATATTAATTCTTAAGAGTATTACTTTGAAAGATCACATTTAGGATGAAATATAACCCCTTAGTAAGTGTGTTTTCCAAATTAATGACTGAAAAAAGATGTTTTCATTCGTTAAACTATTCACTCACATTCCCCCTGTTCTTTTTAGGCTCGCTGTCTGGCTTCTCGGGTTTTAACATCAGAGAAGATTCCTTAAAGGACATCTTATCTACCTCTTTCTGAAATCTGCTGAATACAAGACATTGAACTGGTCATATTAGCTTAACAATTTTTACACTTAAGTTATGTCTAGGAGCTTGGAGAAGCACAACATCAGACTTAAGCCTGTAATTTTAATCTTCAGTCAAAACACTTCCCTCCAGGCAAAGTGCAACTCTTCAGCGTTAGCTTCTTAGGCTAGCAGAAAATTGGGTATTTTCTTAGTTGCTTAAATTACAAAGTAACATCCACTGCCGTGTAGCAAGCTATGCACTATAGTTAATTATCAATAAGCAGTGGGTAAAAATACTGTGAAACTACTTTTTTTTTTTTTTTTTGGAGTGCCTGGTCAACTTTATCTCTGTAAGTACATTTATACTTGCTATATGGCTAATGTTCCATCTCTTGTAAAATTTGATTAACAAGTCTCTTTTGTATCTCAGCAGCTTCTCCAGCAACTGTTTGTTAAGTACAGAAACAGTTCAGTGTTTTCACGTGGCATGATCTATTCCAGCGGGGATTCATTTACTACTGCATTTCTTTTTAATCATTTGCCTTCTCTTGGTGCACCCCTTGCTAACAAAAGCGTGCTTGTGAGGTGGGTCATTGTTAGCATGGGGCAGGAGGAAGCAGTGGTGTACAAAGTGAAGATTGTTTGCTCCAGGAGTGCATATGAGACAAACCATTGGGATGTGGAAAGAAAATATTTTGTATTATGAATAAATATTTTTTTTAATTAAGATGTTGCTCTGATAATAGTTTTAAAAAATCATGCCTCCAGGGCATCTTCTGTCCTATCAGACTTCATTTTGCACAGTACCTGCCTGCAACTTCTGCAACATATAAAACCAAAAGGATACAATGAGTCCTGCCTGCATCATCCTTTGAAAGCTCCTTGCAAGTCTCTAATGTCAGGCATGGACTTAAAAAAAAAAGTCTTTCTTTTCCTCCCTTAACAAGCATTTAACTCTCAATGTTCTTTACCAGTGTTGTGGTTTATCATCATTGGGCAGGTAGTTGAGCACCTCACAGCTGCTCCTGTTCACTTGCCCCACAGGTGCCTGGGGAGGAACTGGAAAGGTAAAAGCAGGAAAACTCATGGTTTGAGATAAAACCAGTTTACTAGACAAAGCAAAAGCTGCATCGAGCAAGACAAGGGACTCATTCACTATTTCTTATCAACAACCAGATATGGGACATCCCTTTGGTCTGTTTGTACCAACTATCCTGCTTCTATATTCTCTCAACTCCTTGTGCACCTCCAGCTCCTCGCTGGCAGAAGAAGCTGGACAGTCCTTGAGTTATTCTAAGCACTGCTCCGCAGCAAGTAAAACACCAGCATGCTATCAGTTGTTTTCAACCCAAGTCCAAAACACAGCAATATATGAGCCCCTATGGAAGAAAAGTAACTGTTCTATCCAAAACCAAGACAGCTAGATTGGATTTCTCCTGCCCTCCCCCCCCCCCACACACCTTTTGTAGGAATGAAGTAAAAGAAGCAACTTGGTAAAGTCTGAGCACTAAAACAAAAAACAACCATCTAACAACTGTCAACAGCAGGAGGGAGTACAAATTTTTCAGCTCCTGGAAGCTGACAGTCTGTAATCACATTGCAGCTGCACTCCTTAGAGACATCTGTCCTCCCTGGTCATCATCAGATTGTGCTTTCCTTTTGCTCGCTTCAGGGACAAGGCTGGAACTGCCCCTCCTAAGCCTGAGAATGGAGGAAGGGTCCATTCAACTAATTTTTGCTACTGGCACAGTGTCAAGTGTAGTAAAATAGGAGAGACAGAGTGGTTGTATTTTGCATTAAAACTAACAATTCTTTGAAGCACTCCAGTCTGGTAGCAAAGTTCCGTGGTGGCACTCCCTTATGCATTAAGAGGATACAGCATACCTTATGGCTTTGATTATAAATTCAGAAGCCTGGAAGGGGCAGCTCCCTGTTACTTTGGATGCAGCTTTGCGGTCTTTGAACCTTTTCTCACTTTTTATGTATTAATATTTTAGTAGAAAAATATGAATCTTGCCTATTTCCCGGTCCCACTAAAAAATCCCATAGCTCCAAGTGTGTGAGTTAGAGATGTAATCTTTAATGACAAAATTAAGTTCTGGTATGTAAAAGAAATATATATATTTTAAACAGAAGTTCAAAATACAGTTCTAATCAATTTTAACTGCCATCAAGCTTCTTGGGATTTCTGATTTTTTTTTGTAATTAAATCATACCTGCCACTCTGAAAATAGACACCATCTTGTTAGTGAACAGCTGTGGCAATGCTGGCTGGAGTAACTGAACCAACACTACCTAAGGACACTGTGCCCAAGGCAGAAACACTTCATTTAGAGCAGAAACCTTCTAGTGCCAGATGACAGCTCTGTAGTTGCAATTAAACATTCTGCCTTATTCACAGAACACCTTTCATCAACAACAAGTAGCATCTGTAGGTACAGCCTTGATCATTTACTTCTTTGTGATCTAACCCATCACCTGCAGGAGGCAGTGGTCTCACAGGGAAATGGCAAGCAGTTGTGCTGTCTGGCCACCTGTACAAAGGGATGAGTGGCTTTGACACCAGTATTCAGTGGCTTACAAAGGTTGCACACTTTCACTAGCCTTTTAACAAGCATTTCAGGTAACTCTCTGCACATTCTGTCATAAGAAAACACATTACCGTGAGTTGTATTGTGGATTATTAGAAGGTCATTAACTACTACCTGATGCCTTAATTCACTTAATTCATAAGGCCAAATGATACACCTCTAACCTATGCATGAACGGTGTATTTGAAAGATATAACTGTTATAATCCTCTCCCCTTGCTTACTGACAGAAGCATGTCTATCCACCTGCTGAGCTCCATGTCTTGTCTCAGACAGCAAAGTAACAGTGCCCCACACCTCTAACACAAACCTCTCTGCATTGCTGATGGAAACTGCAGGATGCAGAGTTCTGGGCCCCCAGTGGCATGGTGCTGATGACCCCAGGTCTCATTGCTACTGCTTTTACAATGGGGAAAGGAAGCCCATCCCAGACATAAAGCATTCATCAGGAGGCTTGCAACCTGTGCCGAATTCAATTGGCTGCTGACACCTTATTCCAAAACATTCCCAAATGCCTTCTCACTTTCTGTTCCAAAGAGCTTTGCATCTTCACAGCAGCCAGAGCTTCTCAACTGCAGCAGGAACTGTGGTGTCTGAGTTACAAATACTTGGTACCTGTGTAACCTGAGGTACCTGGTTTACCAGAACCATACCTTGTGCATGCCCACAGCACTTAAGTAATTCCCAGTCTGCCAACAGACATGAGACAAATGGCCAATTTGAAACAATTAATGGACACGGGCAGCTTCCCCCAGGCAGATCCTGCTGCAGAACTGGCCAACAACACTGAGACATGATACTTTTTGAAACTGCTCCTGCAGATACAGACACTTGAGACAATCTTTTGTATGTACATAAGAGCAAGGAGATATCCTTTGTTTAAAGGAATGGATTAAGGTGTTTACATAGGACCAAAGAGGCTTATAAGTGAGCAAGAGAGTGTGAGTCTTACTTGAGTATCTGCAAGGGTTCTACAACTACAATTCCTGACGCTGCCTGGACAGCAACTAGCCCTGTAAGACAGAATCCGCTCTTTCCACTCGACTGGATGCCAGGCTCACAGTAAATTTCATTAGGTTTGTTGCATTCTAACAAATACTTTACATGTCAAAGACAAAGAACCCCACTTCCAGAGTTCCTAGAGTCAACCTACTGGCACCTCATATATGTCAGTTTGACTCTAGGAACTGCAGCTGGGGCAGGGCAGTGGGAGAACTCTTAAACATCAGCTGGGAACCACAGTTTAGATAACAGTGGGGAATACATCACAGAAATAACTAAAAATGCTACTGTACTGCTGAAATGGGATGGAAAGTACCACAATAACAGCAGGACTGCAAAGTCTCAGGCTACAGCAAAAGAGAATGAGCTAAAATGCAGCAACCACAAAAATGAAGGAAGAGAGCTACTTACACTCAAAAGGCCACAGATAGCCAGAGACCTCCAACAAGAGATGCCCTCTCTTCCTCTGCCAACACTTAAATGAGGTCTGGGAAGGGGTGGATCCTGGCTCCACCCCTTCTGGTTAAGCATATACATGAGCTCCCCTGGGTTGGCCCTGCCTTTCTACCAGGTGCTCTATCACTGTTTCAGGTCATGACTTAGCATTTCTGCTACAGCTACAAATGACTTGATCTATTTTGATCTCATAGACAGTGGGAAAACTGAAAGAATAGTATAGTTCTACAACCAGATGTAAAGGCCGCAAGCCTGTATGGATATTCTGGCCACTCATGTTCAGCTGCACAGTATATTGCTGAGGAAAGCAATGGAGGAATGTCTGTGAACTTACACAACGCAACTTGGTTACTGAATGTTCTCCTAGATATCCTCTACACTGAGTGCTGAAGCAGCTTATTTTTTATGTGCCATTATCTAACTCTCAGAAAAGCTTAAGGTGACTATCAAGAAAGCTATCTCTCAGATTAATCAGGAACTGAGATTCAGAGGAAGAGGAGAGAAGATGTGTTTATTTCTCCTTCAAAGCAACATTAAAACTTTCTGTCAATTCAAAATGTATATCTATTTCTTTAATTTTTTTTTTTCATTTTAATTAATTTATTTATTTATATTCAATCAGGTTATCACAATCAGAAATTGTGATTAAGAGGGAGAGGAGAGGAGAAGGTGGAAGGGACCTATGAAGATCACCAAGTCTAACTGCCAGACCACTTCAGGACTAACCAAAATTTACATTATGTTATGGAAGGCGTTGTCCCAAATGCTGACAAGAATGAGGTATCAACCAGCTCTCTAGCAAGCCTGTTCCTCAGGCACCCTCCCAGTAACAAAATGTTTCCTAATACCCACTCTAAACTTCTGTGGCTCAGCTTTCTGCTGTTCTCATCCTGCCATCCAAGAGCAGAGCTTGGCACCTCTGTTTCCCTTTCACAAGGAGGACAGAGAACAGAGGGGTTACTTCTTGGCCTCCTGTACTCTGGAAAATCTCTGCCTCTTCTCATGGGACATGCCTTCCAGACCTGTTATCAGCCTTGTTGCCTTCTTCTGGACATTTTCACAGTCCTTGGCATCCTTTTTATATTTTGGAGCCCAGAACTGCACACAATATGCAAAGTGAGGCTGTGCCAGCAGTAAATATAGCTGGAGAAGCACCTCTTTTTGACCTTCTGGCTATTCTGTGTTTAATGCATTTAAGAACGTGGCTTGCCCCTTGTCTACCAGAGCGTACTGCCGGCTCCTGCTGAGCTACTGTCACCAGCACAACCAGGTCCTTCCCATTGAGCCCTCCCCCAGCCACGTAACCCACAGTCGGTGACTGCCTGGTGTCTCAGTTTGAGAAGGATAATCTAAAAGCACACAGAATAAGCAAATTTATTCAATTAATGTTTTCTTGTTGTTGTTTTGGTTTTGCATTAATTTATTCTAATCCAGAGACAATGAGTTCCTCTTATCAAAATACAGATAACAAAATACTTAATCTGGTTTGAAGTGATGCTGAGAGATAAAATGTCAAACTGCTCTGACAAACCTGTTCTCAATGGATTATCATGCGATTTGGAATGGGACACTGCTCCAAACTCTGCCTTTTGCATGATCTCAAAGATGCTGTGCAGAAAATCTGCAGCTCTGAAATAAAATAAAACTGTGTTAAAGGTAAATCAGAGTGAGAATAGGTTATGTTTGAAGATGCGAAAAATTGTCCCAAGGCAAATGATGAGATGGGAGAAGAAGAAAGGTTTTTATTCAAAAGGTGAACAAGAGTGTAATGGTATTCCATCAGAAGTTGAATCATGATAAATGGAGAAAATTAGAAAAATTAGAAAAATTAGAAAATTAGTAAAAAGCAAGTTATTGTAAACAACTGCTGCCATCTGTTCTACAACAAGAAAATGTAATGGAATATTGACCAGAAGGTTCAATCTCTACTGTCATACTATCACCATCTGCCATCTTCTGCATGCAGAATATAAACCCACATTTTTTCTTCATACATGTTAGACAGCATTTTGACTCTGCCACTCTTTTGCCATCTCTCACAATGGAGTAGAAGAAAGAGGGAGACAGAGAATGCCACTGACACAAATCCCAGAGGAATGAGCAGACATTTAGCCTGCCACTGCTTGCCACCCTTAGGTAATACTAAGGTACATCTACTGAGAAATGTCCCTTGTAACTCAGGCATCACATATCTTTGGCATGGATTTTGTGCAATAGCAGGCAATACTAATGGAGTATAGGTGTACCAGAGAATTGTTTAAAGGAAAAGAATGTATTGCAAACCTTTTTCACAGTTAGTGGACCTACTATTTGTTCCTATGTACATACCAAGAATGAGGGTCAAAGCGGTTTAAGTCAGTTTGGTGTGATTACAATGACATGTTGAATATATTTTGTACTGATGTATAAAACTTACATTGAGATTCCGTGTGCCTAAGGCATTTACTTCTCTCTTTAATTTCACAAGGTAGATTGGTGGGAAGCCTGTCTTTGTCAATTATCTGCCCAGGGAATGTGCAGGCTTATTTTAGGACTCTCAGTTTCCCATGCTGTAGGCATTTCTGAAAGGAAAGCCACGGCTTGTATGAATGGGAATAGGTTGTGTGAAAGTACCAGAGAAACAACAAGGGAAGAACACGAGGGGTGGAAATGAACAGCATTGGAAACATAGGCTTTAAGCCATACAATAAACCACAAATATTCTTTCCTCTACAAACTGAACTTTGTGCAACTTCACCTGTGGTTTAAGTATATGTTAGGAATTTGGATCTTGAGGTTAATTATTAATACTGTACAGGACTATTTGTCCCCAAACAGGTAATAGAGTTGAATACATGGAAACTATGTTCAATTAGCTGCTGATAGACTGTAATTCAACACTAAGGACAATCAGGGGCAGGTCATAACTTCTTGATGCTGTCATTTTACGATATTGTTGAGATTTGTATATTCTGTCAATTCACCTTCTGTCTGAAGGCCAAATTGCTTTACAGTCAACATGTTTTTCCTGGAAAGCACTATGTCTTGCCCTAAGGCAAAGTTTTTGGTGCCCTGGCTAGAACACAGATCTGGTGACAGGCAGCAGGTGTAGCTCTTTGGGCCTCTTCAAAGCTCTATGGATGATCTCCGTGCCTTGTTTTAGGATCAGTAGCTGTCACCTTCCATTCATACTAAACTCCTTGACTAGAAATTGCAGTCATAAAACACTGGGCATGCCTGACTGGAGCAGAAAGCAAAGCAGTGCAGGCTTAATTTCTGGGCTTAAAACTGCCCTCTGTTGCAAAAAAGGATTTAGCCCTACTCCTCGTTCTGGCTTGTCCCCTACCTGATGGATCTGTTGTGCAAGTTTGGGGACTACCTGGGGAATTGATCCAGGTTAAAAAGTAACTCTACACAAAACAAGGCATAGGGCTGGGGGACAAAATTTTCTTTTTTGCGTAATGTGGTTGGTGTGCAAGTTTCAGTGAGAAAGGTCTCAGGCAAGATTGTATTTCACTTATAGGTGCTTGTAGAAAAACATCACATGCGCACATCTGATTACAGGGAACCAAAGAACTCACTCCTAGAAGCTCTTGGCTGAGGCCAGGTCTGACTGGTTTCACTCCACTACAACAGGGTGGTGCACTCAGACTGCTGTCACATACAGTGTGCAGGTATAACAAGTGTGGGCAAAAATTTTGTGGGAGCAGAGTAAGAAACGCACGCATACGCCCCAAAAAAAAGAAAGAAAAAGAAATGAAAAAGACTCTTGTAGTCACTTCTGCTCCTCTTCACTCTCACACTTCCTCAACAATGCTGTTGATAAATTGGAGGAACAAAAATTAAATTTGCATTAAAACAATTCCTAAATCTTTAACCTGCTTTAACCTTCTAAAGGGCTATCTCAGTTCTCTAATCTCCAGCTGCATTACAGATAAGCAAATACTGAATGACAGCCAAACAGGACAGTTAAAAAGAAACGTGACAGCTCACGCCTCTCTCAAACTATTCATGTTCATAGTCATAACATACATCTCTGTGTGCTCTGAGAGAGAAGACAGAAGGTAAGCATGCCTGACATTATTGGAGCTGCGGGCTGGTGAGTTCAACAATGCTATGCTGATTGCCCTTCTGGTAAGATGAGTAGAACTGTGCATGGAGCTCTTCTATCAAACATTTTGAGAGGTGCTGCCAGAGAAGCAGAGTGTGTGCCGAGGGGAGGACGGCCATACAGCTGGGCTCTGACAGCTGGTGTCAGAAGCTGAGTTTTACACCCATTTTTCTGTACTGCTCAGCAATGCATTTCTGGCTGATTGGAGCCTATTGGAATGTTTATTTCTTCTCCCATCGGATGCACTAGACTGTGAATATATATCCTAGCCATTGTTGCATCAAGACTTTTCTTTCCTGGTGTATTTGTTCATTCCCATGTCTATAAGAATGAACCAGTGTAGTCTGAAAGGTCAGGCTTTTGACAGAATCAGATAAGAAATGATTTCTGTGTGTTATGTATTTAATGTCTTCATTCTGTTTCTTACAAATTCTCCATTATTCCTCCATAACCCTAAAAATATTCACTCATTCACCATATTTTTCTGTCCTTTGTGCCACCAGTTTTCTTATCATAACTTGAACTGAAATCTGTTTTTGGTTTTATGATTGGGATTACTGCTACCAGCAGTTCTGATGTGATTAGTGACTCTCCAGTTGTTTAAGCCTGAACTGTTTTGTCTGGTTGTTATACTGACATCTCTGAGTGGCAAGGTATGGGGAGCAGCAGGCCCAGCCTGTCCACAGAGCCAGCCTGAGGGATGCCCGTGCATCCTGTGTCCATGCCATGAGAGGAGGCTGCCCACCTGAGCTACATGCAGGCCCAGTGCTGCCCTGTTTTGACACTGCCTCATGGTGGGACAGCAACCCACAGGTTGAAGGGAGCACAGGTCCCATAGGCGGTGTCCACGTGCATGTGCCTCATGTAGGCAGGTCCCTGGCAGCCCATGGGTGCATCCAAGGGCACAAGGTCATGGCCCGTCCTTGTTTCTACCACACCCCTCATCAAAAAGGGCACTGCTGGGCGAGCATGAGGCCAGCGCAGCTCTATTTGTTTGAAGGCAAAAGGGCAGGAAATCTTAAACAGGAGAGTGATAATGGTGGGGATCAGGCACCTCCTTTCCAAGAACTGTCTGCCGTGGTGAACTTGGGTCAGTTGGCTGGTATGAGTGTTATAAGCAGCTGATTTGGCAAATCTGAGTGGCAGTGATAGAGGGATGATGAAGAAACAGCAAATACTGAAGTCCAATAGCCACCTATACTTTGTAGGGAAGAAGGCAGGGAAAAGAAAACAGGGTAAAGCTCCAGATAGAAAGATGTCCATTTCAAAATGTACTTTAACCCAAGTAGAACAACACCTGTAATATCAAAGTTGGAAAACTTAGATTTTGTTCTTTGCTATCATATGTAACATTAACGATGAATATATTTTTTCTGACAAGTACGTAGCAATATTGATAATAAGGTTCAAGAATACTTAATGACATCACTAACTTTTTAAAAAATATCACATTTGAACCTCTCCATCACTGTTTTCAGAAAATCTTACTATGGGAGAAACTATAAGAAAGAGATGGACAAGAACTAGAAGGAGGTAAAATTTAAAAATAAAGGATGCTGTACGCAACTTCAGTCACAAAGATCACAATGAAAGCTTGGCTAAGAAAGATCTGTTTAAGAGCTGGTGGTGGCCCAAAAGAAACATTAGTCATTCAAATCCTAGAGGAACTTTAATAAATTCTTCTTTTTATATGGGTTGCCATTGCCCACGTCAGATTTAAAAGCATGTAACATAGAACTGTATATAAATAAAGGATCATGTTATGAATCTTTCATTTTTCATTTTATAACCTGATTTTCATGAAAATTTGAAAGGTAAATTTAAGTGCATTTTTGTAGCAAAATGCGTTTTACTAATGTTGGCCTGTACTGGGATTGCTTGTTTGAATTGCTCCTTCGTTTTTGGAGGGTTTTTTGGTTTTGTTTTTCTTACGGGAAGGCATTTCTTTGTGTTTGCTTTTTGTTTTCCTAGGAGGTAAGAGCAAACCAAAAAACTATAGTTTTATATTTTCTTACTGCAGCTTATTCACCCACGAGCGACAACAGATTAATGATGGAACCATCACAAGAGTTTGTATTTAATTACAAGGGGTTTTACTTTCCAAAAATTACTACACCTGAGTATGTAGCTTCCCTGGAGAATTTTGAAATCAAGGACAGTGACATATTTATAGCTACTTATCCAAAATCAGGTAAGAATTGAATCGATTCCAATGGGGAAATAAATCTGCTTTTACTCACTCATCTAATTGTATGCCAAAGATTGTTAGCTTTGCTTTTAGATCTGAACATCTCTGAGTATATGCAGCGCAGCAAATCCTACATAGGTACAAATCCTGCATAGCCACACCCTGAACAACCACACACAGGGTTCCTGCTTATGTCCCGCTGAGCTGATCTATGTGGCTCTTGTATTCAGTCTGACAGTTGTGCACAGAAGAAGATCCATCCAAACCAAGCTGATGTTCTGGGCCTCATAAAACACATATTTAGTTTCCGTTTTCCTGGGGTCTATGGGGTTGAAGGTGGTTGTGGGACATCTTGGTTTATTGGTGGGCACAGATGGAAAGTGATTTGATGCTTGCTGCATTCAAATTAGAACCTAGAAGGAGAACTGAGCAAATATGATTCAATGACATGCACTCAATTTCAACAATTTATAAATTAATATTTATCTATATAAGAATAGAAGGAATTAGTGTAATGAATTCTCCATTCCCACTTGTGAAGCAAAGGCATCGGAGAAGCTATCTTCACATGAAATATAAAATTCTGATATACCTACACCTGTGTGTGCAGATTCACCATGTAATCGAAAACTGATTCTCAAAACAGCAAGTCCTTAACAATTATTATTTAATGACTTGACCATGCATTAAACAATGATTTCTAATTACATCCTTGATATCTCTGGTACCAATCTGTGCTTGGACTTTCAAGTCTTTTGCTGTCCACGCTTGTTTGTGTTTCTGGGAACTTCTGTCACAATACTTCAGCAGTGTAAGAGGCATGGGCTTCTGATAACATAAGCAGTGTTGTGCAATCAGGCATTTTCCCCTTAACAGGACAAAGGTAGCAGATGGAAGGAAAACGGAGCCCAGGTGATGCTAGTTCATTGTCAGGCAGTGCTGGAGGAAACTATCCAAGTCAGGCAGAGAGGCAC